AAGTATGCACCCCTGATAGCAGATTCTACGAGTACTAAGAGGCATGATTGCAAGGAAAACAAAATTTATATTTTTGAATGATTCTGGGGCACCCGACTCTCTCTCTTGGCTCCACCGGCCCTGAAGATGCCGAAGTCCTGTTTAAAAAGCACTAAGCGAACTAACCAGCCTTGTCTTTGTGGATTCTTTCACTGTGTAAAACATAGGGCCCAGTTCTGCCAGCCAGTAGCCATCAACAGCTGTGACACATTGCATGTATTCCTGCGTTAAAGAGTTGAGAGAAAAATCCAAATAAGGTAGAACAAACATGCATGCACGCCTAAGAAATTAGCTAGCTGTACCATTGTGCACTCCTGACGACAGAGTCATTAGCATGTAAGAGAGGACTCCCTAAGTGGTCATTACATGATGATTACAAATGTTAGAACAAGATTGGAGCTGGCGTTTACATCCATAGTACCGACCCTCAGCCATGAGGTTGGGAACAGGCAAGCAATATCAAGAGAACTCCAATCAAACTTCGTAGCCCCAAAGTGCGCCAGAGTCAGAATCTCTCTCATGTTATAGGTATCACGTGACTACGCATCTGTCAAGAAATGCACCGGCCTAAGTTATCGTTAACCCTTTAACTCTCATCATGAGTGACCAAGACAGAATTTCTCCATACAACATTAAAACAATATCAGCCAGGTAAGTGATGAGAATAAAGAAAAATATCGATTTGGGGATAATAAGTTGATCCAATACTAAATTCTCTGAACTAACATTATAAGAATTGTATGGTTGACAGTAAGGAGAATTACAAATCTGATGCGGGAGTTAATAACTACGTTACCGTGGGTTTGTCGTCTTACCTTAGAGGTCATAACAAGCTCATGATAAACAATATAGTCGGGTGTGTATCCCATACCAAACAGAGCACTAGTGGGGTGAAGATGACACGGCATTCCTGTTCTCATGTTGACGTATTCTCCAATGCCCTGCGACAAAAATGCAAATAATTAATATCAAAACGACTTCCGGTCCGCCGTTAAACCTCTGACGCAGCCTGTACTGTGGTCATGTCATCTTTTTGGTTATTGATTTCCATCGTCGTTATTGGTCTTAATGACCGAAAAAGTACATACCATTATCTAAATTAGAATATTTCAGATCAAAATTACTGCGTCGTACGAATTGAAAAGAAGCTTATAAAACTCATCTCGGTTTGTGAGACCCTAAACATAAAACAACTTCCTACTATTTGTAGTTGTAACGAAATTCAGTAAACTCTTACTCATCGAGACAGATTAACCCTTTATCTTCTAACATCAATATTCATAATCTCCATACTATTCACTATACATTTCCCAAGGTGCTGACAAAGAGAATTTGTCTGATAATCAAGCGCAGCTTTAGTTGGTGATCATTACCCCAATTCTCATTACCTTAACGTTTGATTCAATGGTGATATTGTAAGGAGAAATTAGATGCTAGTCACTCTGAGGGGTTGAAGGGTTAACAGGTCAAACTTGGGGTGATTTGAATCTATTAGAAAAGGAATGATTAAAGAGGGTAGTTTCTAAAACTGTGGTGCTGCGTTGGTGAGAGAGTATAACAAGGTAATTTGGTATTATCAAATGGGTCGATGACGTAAATTGGCCACCGTTAAGAGTTCCAAGCTGACATTTCGAGCGTTAGCCCTTCGTCAGAGATAAGGACGAAGGCTAACGCTTTGAAACTCATAAAGGTGGCCAATTTACGTTATCAACTCATTTGATAATACCAAATTACC